CTTGTTTACATTCCACTCTTCAAAATGTGTGCCCTTTTGTGGCAAATCTAGTGTGGCCTTATCACACTTGTTATCTACCCCGACCTCTCTCTTTCGATCGGCTCATCCGAATTGGGCCTCCAATCCGGATCCCATCATTGTCTCGTAGATCGGTTCCTTATCTTTCTGGTTAACCGATTTCACTCAGTTCCAGTCCCAGTGTGCTTTTCACTCCAGGAGCTATTTCTCAACGCCATAGAAGCACGTACACAGCCGCCTCGCCGAGCATATCGCCTAGGCTCTGATTGCCATGCTTGCCGATATCACGCCTTCCCTTCACGGGTCCTCTCCTTCATTAAACCCATGTTATCTGAGCAAACTTTGGATGCCTATCTCTTGTCGCATTTGGCCTCTCGGGCTGGTTTCTGGGGCATTTTGGTCATAACGCCGAATTTCCGTGACAGTTTGCTTATCCGTCTGCCCAGCTCCCTGACTACCAGTCCCCCAAAGTTGTACTGGTTTATTCGAAATGGACATCACTCACTGACAACGTCTTCGCTTGATTGGAAAAAACCCCTGCCTCCCATTTTCCTCATTGCGATCCCCTTTTCACCGGTTAGCGGTAGATCCTTGATCCAGGCGTCTCCTTTTTGCTGGTCTTGCTCTATTCTTGTTGTCCCCAAGTTTGCTTAGGCAGTAGACAATCTCGTGTTCATTAAATTTTTCTCCCCAAGGATGTCAATGTCCTCTCTAATCTTGCGCTTCCTTGTGTTGCCACCGTATAGAGCTCTTCCTTCTGTTGCCTTCCAATTGATCTCGTGTCCTGTCTGTGTGATGTTTTCCGCTAGTTCTGATCTTTCGGTATCCATTTTCCTGCAGAGCCTCTGTTGTTCCTAGATTCGTGTGCTATTGTTTCTCTCTGCTTGCCAATATATTTCTATTCGCAGGCGCCGCATGGCATACAGTAAACTCCTGAACAAGCTAATTTGTCTATCCTTTCATGTTGTGTTGGTAGACTTGTGAAAAGTGTTGATTTCTCTGTCATGGCAACCTGAATATTCCATTTACTCAATATTGGCCGTAGTTTTCAAGTTAGTTCGCAGGAAGGCAGGCATATCCACCTTTTTGAATCTTTAATTGTCCTTACTATTCTTTCATGGTCCCCGTTTTGCCATCGGCTTTTCTCGTCCCGTATGTTTCTATGTATCACTTTGCTTGGGTAGCCATTGCCAAAGAAGATCCTAGTCAATTTGTCCAGCTTTTCTTCTCAGAAATCTGCATCGGTTAGACGTAGGCTTCGGGTGAACATGCTCCTCATTATTCCTATCTTCAGCCTGTAATTGTGATTGGATCGGAAATGGAGTATTATCCCAACATAGGACTTTTTTCTAAACAATTTCTTTTTGGGCGTCCCATCAGAGCGAATCACTTCAACGTCCAGGAATGGTGACCGCTCAACTTCCTCGGTTTCCATTTTGAATTGAATTTTTTCATCAATCTGGTTTACAAACATCAGAAACTCTTCTGGTTTTTCTCTTCCATGTGACAAAAGTGCGAAGTAATCATCCAGGTACCGCATGAGCCCTGTCGTTTGTAGCGGTGCCGTCTTGAAGCTCTCTTTTATTTTGTTTATGTATACGTTGGCCAAAAGTGGTGAGAGCGGCGATTTCATGGGAAGTCCAACTATTTGTTCATAGATATTCCCGTTGAATGTAAAATAGGTTGTCCTTGTTGTCAAGTTGATCAGTCTTGTTAACGACTCTCTCCTGATCCGTTGTGATTCCACGATATCCTCCTCTCGGTCCAGGATTTCCAGCAAGGCCGTTAACACAATTTCTCCAGAGATGTTTGTATACATGGATTCCACATCGAAATTTACCAATAAGTCCGTTTCTTGCAGTGCCATGTTTTTGATTTTTTTCGAAAATTTATTTGAATTTTTCACCGTGTTTGATAGTTTATTATTTCATTTCTTGAGTTTTAAACATACAAACTTTGCTAATTTGTGTGTAATCGAAAAAATTATGCCTGATTTCATTATTTGGGAAAACTCCATCAATCGTTCTGCTCTAAAAACAAAACTCTAACATATGCCAACTCTTTCAGCCTTGTCTTCAAAAGAGTCGAGCTTTCGTTAAACTTTGATGATATTTAGGCTGACGGATACAGATTCAAGTGCCTAAGCCATAATTTTTTCCAGAACACTTTCACCTGCAAGATTTTGAATGCTGTCTATATGCGCATGTTTACTAGTGCCTGTGTGTGTACATGTGCAGTTGTTAGTTTCGGAGCATAGATAATGTGTTTACTTCCATTTGAGTTTATTCTCATTCATGCACAACTTTCTGGCCGGTATCCGGTGTACTTTCCAATCTACGCACTTGCCGATACATTTTAACTCGAGAC